ATTAACTTTGGCTAGTGATGTAATTTATATAGGTATTGTGATGGGGAGGCGGGAAGAGGAGAGGAGTACTAGCTCTGCACTGGGAAAGCTGAGCCTAACCAGGCTCACCTGATTGAAGAAGCCCTGCTGGGCATGTTCAGACTACAGCCCAGATATAAAAGTCTGGAGGAACGGTCAGTCTGGGCTGGCTGAGGAGGAGGGTGGCAGCGGCGGCGGCAGCGGCAGCGGCAGCAGCATTCCCAGAGCTCCTGCAGGTGAACTTCCTGAAAGATCAGACCTGGAAACCAGCCAGCGAGACACCTACACTACTACAGGAGATTGGGAGGAAGGAGGCCTGAACCAGAGCTCCTGCAAGGGAACCAGCAGACGGACTGGACTGGGAAGCCAGCTAGCAAGACATCTGTGCTAGAGAAGATATGGAGGAAGGACCTTGGAAGGAGGCCAGTGGAGACTGGTAGGAAGTAGCCCAGTGTAGGATATTGTTACGTGTGGGTCTCAGTGTGTTGCAGTGGGATTCCCTGCTGAGAGCACAGTGGAATGCACCACTGCTAATAGGACCCCGGGCTGGGAGCCAGTGGAGTAGGGAGAGCCTAGGTCCTCCTACCCAGAGGTGGAAATAAGTAAGTAGAAATACTTTGTTACACTACTCAAGTATTTCTTTTGTGTGTGTTTGTACATTACTCAAGTAATTTATTTTTGTGATACTTCAACATTTACTCAAGTACTTTTTTTTTAGAAAATATTGTACTGTTTACTCCACTACCATTTCCAGAAGCATTTTTGTTACTCACTGCTTTCAACACTCTTCTGACAATTGCACAAGCCAGCATTCTGATTTGCTAAAGCACAGCCGCATGCACAAAGCATCCAGTTGTCATGCAGTGACAATTTTTTTTAAAAACAATAACCAATCAACAAGCACCATGACCCTGCAAACACCTTTTCAATTAAAAAACAATCTCTATGCAGGAGTGGGGAGCCCTGAGCCTCGCGGGGCAGATCCAGCATGTTGGGGAGAAGTATGGTGCCGCATGCTGCTGCTCCAGCCAGGGGGACTGTGAGCAATGTGGTGCTGGAAACTGCTACGGGGAGGGTTTTCCTTTTGCTCCCACTGGCCGAAATCAGGCCAATGGGAGCAGCGGGCAGTGGCAAGGTGTGTGGCGCTAGGTGAGGCTGTGTCTTCACTGCAGGCTTCTTGTGCAAGAGATCTTCTGCAAAAACTTCTTGCACAAGAGCACATCCACACTGCAAAAGCGCATCAAAAAAGTGATGCGCAAGAGAGCATCCAGACTGCATGTAAGCTCTTTCCAAAGGAAACTCTGATTGCTATTTACAGAATGGCCACTAGGGCACCTGTGCTTTTTCCTCTTTCCTGTTTTTGCGCAAAAAATCCCTGCTGCCCGTCCACACACACTTTGCGCAAGAGCTCTTGCACAAAAAGGAGTTATTCCTAGAAGAAAGAGGAATACCTATTGTAGCCTGTCACTTTGACACCTCATTAATATGTATCTTTAGTTATGAATATGTATTAGCTGTATTCATATTCAGTTAGAAGTTTCTAGGAATGCTGCACACGGCATGCAAGTAGCTGCACATGTCACACTGTGCTGCTGCATGCAGCACACTGATGCAGGCTGTTACAACTTGTTTATCAAAGCAACCAATCAGGGACCCTTGTTTTCCTGTACAGGGTCCAATGATTGTAAAGATAAAGATGCTGAATATTTTATGAGACGGGTGCTTTGAAGGCCTGGCTAAGAGTTGTCTGTGTTCGTTCGCACTTTTTCCACCTTGCTTGAGTTTGTGTCACCCTGTCAGTCTCAGTTACTGAGTGTGTCCGTTAGGAGTAGTGCGTCGATTCACTGCACCAGTGGCCGGGTACTTGTCCGTGACGGGAGCGTCGGGTTAGCTAGCTAGGTTTTGTGGCAAGTATAGGGAACAGGTACAGCTCGTCGATCACT